TGTGTGTGTGTGTGTGCCGCCAAGCTCTCAAGACATAGATCAGTCCACTCCACGCTTGTATGTCCCCGGCCACTTCCTCTAATCTTCGTAACTTATCCTGGGCCTGGGGTGACTGCCACATCCCTGATTGTGCTTCTGTAACATCCATTTGGTCGACCTCTTCTTCTATTTCCGGATGAAGAGCACTGGGGAAGGAAAAACAACTGTAGTCACAAATTGGAAATTATGAGGGTACCAATTTTCAAAGCTTGTGGACTCATAAGTTCATATTTGTTTGACCGGTGGTTTGTTGCTAGGTGTTGTTGAATGGGAGATCAAACAACAATAATCAAACGACAGTTGAACTGAAATTTTGTCAGAAATACAGTCATGAGTCAACAAGAGATCAAAATTGGTACCCTCACGATTTTCAGCTTATGGCTACCGTCGTTTTTCCCCTGTAGTTTTCAGATGGTGTCCAGTACCATGTCTGATTGGGCAACCTTGTCTCTGGCGTTCTCGAAACTTTTTCTACACATCACTGTCGTCTCCTTTTGCAAGGTCGTTTTGATAACTTCATCAATCCCAGCCCTATCATTCTCCAGGAACATAGAGGACATAAAGTTTAGTTTAGTTTTAGTAAGGTTTTTTACGGCGCTTGCAACTGCATAAGGTCATATGAACGCTAAGGGGTGGATGTCAACCGAGAAGCCCAAAGGGGGAATCAGGCTTACTCTGCTCACCTCTCTAGCCTCAATAGCGCAAAGTCTGTTTAGACTATCAAGGCACCACGGAAATAGCAAATCACAAGAGAGTGACAAACATACAAAAGGAGTAGAGGAAAAAGGACAATAGTAAGGATGAGGAAAGAAAAGGCAACAGTTCCCCCTATGTTGTTCCGGCCCAGTATGAGCTTGAAGTTGAGATATCAGCCCATTTACAATTCTACTGTGCATCATCATCATCATCATCATCATCATCATCATCATCATCATCATCATCATCATCATCATCATCATCATCCAGTGC